TGTACTAGTAAATGAAATGTACCTGTGCTGACTCTGGCACCAAAACAAGGTGGCAAGGAACAGTCCAAGTCCTCACTATTAACCTCCCCTCTAACACCACGCTGCCTGCCCTTCTGCCAGCATCCCTGCCTGCAGCGGCTCCTAACCCTGCTGGGAATGGTCTGGAGAGAGCTGCCTGGCCACGGGAAGCCCTGCCCCCAAGATGCTCCAACACGTTAATGATGAACCTGGGAATGGCCCTTGGTTTTGTTGAATTAGATTCTGGGGATGTGCCCTTGGCCTTGGAGGGCAGTGACACAACCTGGGGCAGATACAGAGAGGAGGGAGGGGATGCAGCACATGGCACGTTGCAAGTTGCTATAAGATGGAGGCAGTGCATGTTTTCGGGGCATGTGGAAGCCCTGCAGATAGTAAAACATTGCTCTGAAATGCCTGACCTTCCACTGCAGCATCTCCCTTCTCCCTCTCTGGAGGTTCCCCATCTATATAAAAAATAGCTACTGCTGTGTTACAACTCTCCAAATTTTCTCATGTTTCTGGTTACTGCTTTGGAGCCCAACAGCAAGCCAAGGTCTCCAGCAAGTTCAGCAAATGTTCATTAATCTTTCCTGGCTTAGGCACCCAGTGGACTCAGTAAAACTCGAAGACAGAGAAGTTTCAGGCTGTTAGAGCCGTGGGTTGTTGCCAGGCAATACACCAAGGGCCTGTCCCATGCCCGCCGCAGACGGAAGGCAGCACAGTCACCATACTGCAGCAGACTGGATGCCACGGGTCCACCCAAGGGCTCCAGAGTCTGAAGGAGGTTGGTTAAATAATTTCCAGCATGGAGCAGGCTAATACCCACTGTCAGCCGTGCCTGTAGACACCCTGTGGCTCTGGGAGGAAGACGGGGCTTGTAGGGATGGGAGCCCAGAGCTGGTGGTCCGCACTCCTCTCCTCCTCTCAGGATGCTGCCATCACAGCTCGGCTTTCCCTCCCGCCACCCCTTGGGATGGCTCCAAGAAGAGGCAAGGCTGCGTGGGGACAGCTGATGGCACGGGAACAGGGACAGCTGATGGCACGGGAAGGAGAAGCCCAAACCCCTCCATCTGGAGCAACCCCCTCCCAGAGCTTGCTGGAGGCCAGGGGGACAAACACACCAGTGAAAGCAGAAACCACCGGGAAAAAATAATATTAAGGAAAGCCCAAACTTCTTTGCCACTGAGAAACACAAGAGCAGGCTTTTGCATCTGCCCTAATTTAGATCTTTCCCTCTGGAAAGGACTATCTGTGAAATGCTTTGTATTCATGTCCCCAGCATTAATCGGCCCCCGGCGGCAGCTGGCTCCACAGATCCCCCTGCGCTCGCCCCGCTCCATCCCACCCTCCCACGTGGCAGGTACCCAGCAGCTCCAGCCTTTCATAATGGATGTCCGAGGGCCTGAAAAGGGCTTGAAGATTTTTCTTTTAATTAAAGGAGCTCTGCAGACATGTTATATTCATATATATATTTTCCCCTATTTTTTAATTTGTTGCTACATCAGCTATTTAAAAAAAAAAAAAGGCAGAAAGAAGAAAGAAAGGAAGCTGCCACAAGCTGAGCGCCTTTCGGGATGACTCACTGCAGTACTGAAATGGCTGCTGGCTTCAGACTCACCCTGCCTCTACATTTGCTTCCAGACTGCAGAAGAAACCATGGCAAGAGGTTTTGCCCCCCATCCCTGCGTAGAGGATTTGCCATGGGGTTATTGACATAACCCCCACCCTGGGCTTCGGCAGAAGGAGACCTGCCTTCCCCAGGAGAGGAAGATGGGGGGAGACATGAAATGAAGAGGTGGTGAGGCGTTTCCAGCTGACCTGATTTTCTGCCTGTCCCCATCTCCACATCACTGCCAGTTAGCTCAGGAGTGGCAGTGGAGGCACGGGGCTGGCCCGTGCCGCGGGGAGCTGCACCCTTCCAGTGCAGCTGCAAACCCAGCCGTGCCAAGGAAGGGCCCTCGCACCTTAATTTGCTGCGAAAGAGCCTTAAAATGGGAGTCTCCCTTTCCTTCCACAGCTTGCCAGTGTCAACGCGAAGGCAAGCCAACGAGCTCTGGTCAGCTAACGGGAGAGTCAGGCCTTTCGCTTCCGAGTTGGTGCAGCAAAGGGAAAATTCACCGCAGGTACTACTGATCCTGCAGCCAAGTCCCCTCTGAAGGATGCTGTGACGGCAGCGCAAGCCTATGCAGGGCCGCTGCAGCCTGGGAGGTGAACTCTGCTCTGCTGCAGCCGCTTCCAGGCTTTGGGCCACAACAGGAGACACAGAAGTGTCTCCCCAGCCCCTTCCCAGGGTGATCCCTCCATTACAGGTAGAGCCCTGGCCGCTCCCTGCCTTGCTTCCCACTCATGACTCAGCTCCTCTGCACGGTCCAGGGGACACTCAGCAAACTTGATGGTGCTGGGAGAGCTGGTTTTCGGGGGGACAGGGCTCAGGTCTGCCCTGTGGTAGTACCTAAATGAGGCTCTGGTGCAGAGGCAAAGTGCTGGATGGAGTGGGTGCCCTTGCAGCGTGTGGCACAGCTCCTTCCCTGAAAAATGGCTGGCTGATAAATATTTTTCAGAAAAGGAAAGAAAAATCACCCTGATCACTGTATGTCAGTGACAGGTGGACAAAGCCCCACACGGGAGCCAGCCCTCCTCCCACCCAGTGGGCTGCACCTCAGCACCCACTCTGAGCTGGGCTTGCAAGTGCCCAGAGCAGACAAAACTGGGCATGTTTATCTTTCAGCTTCCAGGGATGCTCAGCCATCCCTAATTGCCATAAAAATAAATGCTTTTTGCTTGATATCACAGAACAGAGGAATTTCCATCAGGTTTTTTTGTTTGTTTTGTTTTTTGTTTTTTTTTTTTTTTTTTCTCCTCGGTTTGTTTTTCCTTTCTTTTCTGAGGCGTCCCTCAAAGTCAGCCCTTCCCCCCTTTCTCCGCTGCCTCCTTCCCATGTAAACAAGCACACGGCACACACAGTCTGACACATCACACACATGGAAACCCGCTGATGGCCCCGCAGCGGCGAGCACTGCCTGGCACAGGGATGGGGCTGGCAGCACACGCGGCCGAGGGAGGCGGCCGTGCAGGCAGGGGGAAGGATGCTCGCCACCAAAAAGAGCTCTCGGCCGGCCACGTGCAAGCCCAAAGGTGAGCACCCACAGGCTCCGGCCCCTTGGGCTGGAATCAGCAAGCCAACAGATCTGATGTGGGGGTTGGTGTGAAGTCTCGCCCCGCGCAAGCTGCCTGTCTGACACAGCCGCTCTGCGCTGGCTGCCGGCGCAATGAGCCATCGCTGCGCGGCCACGCAGCCCCGGCTCTCACCCTGGGGAAGATTTCCCACCCTCTTTTTCCCGTCTCTCTGCTCCAGCAGCTGATTTCTGGGGGAGTTGGTGTGCTCGCAGCGGTCGCTGGGCCGTGTGGGAATGGCCCCGGGGTGGCGGGAGCAGCTCGCTGACCTGAAACCCAGGGTGTGCCGTGCCTGGGACTTGCTGCCTTCACCCACCTCCCAGTGAGCCTTTAAAGAGACAACAGGGAGCTCAGTGAGCCGGGGGGGGGGGGGGGGGGGGGGGGGGGGGCTGTCCCTGTGCCCTACACACCCCTCATCCCAAGAAGGAAGAAGGAGCCGGATCTCATGGAGGGCGACTGCGAGGGCAGAGGCTCAACGTCTGCCGGGAAGCACCACTGCAGGGGCCCTGCTCGGCCTGAACGCTGCGCTCCACATCACTCCGGGGGCTCAGCCCCCCCAAAGGCAGAGCCTCCCGCTTGGGCAGCTTTGCAAAGAGCTGGGGTAGGCCAGGGCCGGCCGTAGCCCCACCGCAGCTCCCACTGGCCATCCCACAGTCTCTCCCGGCTGCTGAAAGGCGCTTCCAGCAGGTAAGGCGATGGGGGCAGGTGTACCCACACCCGGCCCACGTTTCTCGTCCCGCTGCCAGCCCTGGCTCAGCCCCACACGGCCGCCGCAGCGCTGCCTTCGCAGGGGAAACCTCCTGCCTCGCACCGGAGCTGTGCCCGCCCGCCAACCGGTTTTAACCCAAATCGGGTCCCCCGTTTAGCGCTTGCTTCCCCGAGGGACGGAGTGGGCTCCCCTCCGAGCATCCCCAGCCCTCTCCTCTGCCCGGGCCGCGGGGTCCCACCGGGCCGCGGGGTCCCACCGTGCCGCGGGGTCCCACCGTGCCGCCGAGGCGCCCGCGGCAGGAGGCGGCAACCGGGGACCGGGGACCCGGCCTCGCCTCCCCGCTCCCACCCCGCGGCTGCGGGTGGGCGGGCCGGGGGGCGGCACCCCCGGGAGGGGCGGCGGGCGGGACCCCCCCGGCCGGCCCCGCCGAGCTGCCGCCGCCGGCCCCGCAGGGCTCCGCGGCTCCGCGCACGCTGCGGCGGGGGCGGCGCCGAGGCAGGTGAGCGGCGGCGCCGGGCCGGGCTCCGGCATCCCGGGGTGCGGCAGGCACCGGGGACCCGGGGCACCGGCGTCCCGGGGTGCTGGCAGGGAGCGGTATCCCGAGGCGGGGTGGAGAGCCGGGCTCCGGCATCCCGGGGTGCGGCAGGCACCGGCATCGCGGGGACCGGGGGCACCGGCATCCCGGGGTGCGGCAGGCACCGGGGACCCGGGGCACCGGCATCCCGGGGTGCGGCAGGCAACGGGGACCGGGGGCACCGGCATCCCGGGGTGCGGCAGGCACCGGGGACCCGGGGCACCGGCATCCCGGGGTGCGGCAGGCACCGGGGACCGGGGGCACCGGCATCCCGGGGTGCGGCAGGCACCGGGGACCGGGGGCACCGGCATCCCGGGGCGCGGCGAGGACCGTGAGATCGGCAACCCAGGGAACAGCAGGGACCAGGGTACCGGCATCCCTGGAACTCGGGGTACCGGCATCCCCGGGCGTTGCAGGGATCTGCACCCTGGGGCGCGGCAGGCACCCGGGGCACCGGCATCCCGGGGTGAGAGGGCAACCGGAGCAGCGGGATGAGGGGGGTGAGCAGGAATGGGCGCAGCGGGATGAGAGGGGAAGCGAGTCACCGGCATCCCGGCATGAGCAGGGAGCCGCCATGCACCCCGGGATGCTGCTGGCACCTGGGGCACAGGGACTCTCCTCCCCGTCCCTCTGCAGGCGGGTGTAGGAGAGTCCCTCTCCCCGAAGCCCCACGGGGGCTGCACCTCCTCATCCCCAGGGAACAGGGCAGAGGTGCGGGGGTCCCCTCTGGAGAGCTGTGCACCCGCTGCGTGGGACCCGGGAGCAGAGGCTGGCACAGGGCAGGGCATCATCTGCAGCAGGCGCTGGGCTGCCGGCTCACAGTAGGAAGCCGAGCTATTGGTAATCACCCCCTCCTGCACCCTGAAGCGAGGGGGGAGTCATGTCGTGTCCCCCCCGTTATCTGCATTCCCAGCCCTGGGCATTTTGGTGGCCTCTCAGCGTACAGCAGCAGGTTATGCTCTGCCTGGAGGGAGCAGCCAGGAGTGGGAATCCCCCTTCCACGCTCCCCCCTGCCCGCCTGGCAAACCGCCCCACCGCCAAAGGAAGCGCTTGGTGCTGAGCATCTTCAGGCCGATGAGCGCAGGGACGCTCAGCGAGGGGGTCGGGGCTCTGCAGGGGCACTTTTGGATGACCAGAAAGCAGGCGTCTCCCCAGCCCTGCCCCAGCTCTTGGCTGATGGGGACACCATCCCGCAGGAGCTGGGAGGTCAGCCTGCCCCACTCCCCCCCACCAGGTACCCAGCGGGGCCCCCCCAGCCCTACCCCAGCCCCATGAGCATCCCGCACAGGACTTCCCCACCGGTTTGCAGCCACCACCTCTGCGCACCTGGGACGTGCAGGGTCGCAAGCCCGGGGTGACAGGGCGGTTAGGACTGGGCTACAGGCAAAAGATGAAGGGTTTCCTCCTTCTCTACGCGTTTCTAATGGCTCCTTTGAGACAAGCCACAGGACTCCCCGCTGGGAAGCCTCACTGAGCTGTAAGTACAGGGCTTTTTATTTGGACTGTTAATCTAAATCCGTTGTACCTGGTTGGAAAAGCCCCTCTGTGCAATACTCCCTGCACTTGCTGCATCCTCGCTTGAATGTCTATTAGCATCTTCCTTCCCACTCCCTTGGGTCCCCTCTGCCAGTTAGAATAAATATACATAACTTCCATTTGAAAGCCTTTAAGAAAAAAATATGTTGTCAAGGGAAACTCTTCTAGCATTTCTTACAGATATGCTTGATCTGTTTTTATATTTTTTACTGTCATAAATGCATATATAAGAGATTTTTTTCCTCCAGAAGATACATATTCATTTGAATGCCCAACACCCAGCTCACACTGGGCTTGTGTAATTCTGATGGTTGTCTCCTTAAAATAGCTTACAATATATTTCAAAATTTACCAGAAAGAGACTGAATTTATCTGTTCTATTCTACCAATCATTTATGGAAATTTTGCTTTAACTAAAGGAAAATTTTGCAAATTCACATTATTCCAGACAGGCACATTTGTATTCTCTGTCCATTGCACTTTAAAATAAAAAATCACCCAACCTTCCTGAAGTAAGCTTCTGTTTCCCAGCAGATAGATACCCCTGCAAATGCGAGACGGGCTCATGCTTTGATGATCCAGCTGGGGAAATCACACCAAGTCTTAGTTCAAATCTCAGTTTTGTTCTAAAGCTGAGCTTAGCTAGTCGTGAAGCGAGTAGGGAAAAGAGTTATAAAACTATTAATTGCTGCTTTAGATTCCTAGATGAAAGCTGTATGTGGGCAGAAATAATTTGCTCTTATTCAGAAGCCAACATCAGAAAGGAGCATCTCAGACAGTTCGCGACCCTTCTCCTCGCTCTGCTTCCTGCGCGGGAGGGAGGGAGGGATTTCCCTGGGGTACAAAGGCTTGCAGGGTACTGACACCTGCTTTTTTTTTTTCTGGAGGTGGGAGCTGGCTCTGTCCTGGCTCTCGGGGTTTGGCACGTCTCACCCATTGCTGCAGCCGCGCAGCACAGCCGGGCGCTGGGGACGGTCCTGCTGGACTGGAGCATCGCTTTAGGCTTGTCCTGCCGTCCCAGTGCAGCCCCCGGTAGCCACCCGGGCTGCCCCGTGCCCCAGCCCAGCTCCCAAATGATATTTCCGCTGATTTTGGTGACATTTGGCCTGGTCTCCTGGCACGGCTGCTGTATGGGGGGGGTGTGGAGAGAGGATGAGGGTGGGTGTGGGATAAACTGGATCCCACAGAGCCACCCTCACGGCCCCTGTGTGTGTGTTTGTAGCCTGAATACATGAGCATCATTCTGGAAGGAACCTGGATTAGTCATCCCCGCCCCACAGATGGGCTGTGTGATGTCTTCCCTGGAAAAGCTAATCTGTCACAAATTCCAATTTATCCCTGTAAAGGAGTGTTTACACCCTTTTCCTTGCCTTTGTCTTAAGCATTAAAAAAGTTGATCCTTCTCTTTTTTTCCTCCCCTTTGAAAGGCAAGACAATGAGTCCATTAAGCTCTGAGGCTTATCACAAGCCGGTTGCCTCCTCCAGACATGGTGTAATGCGAAGCGCTGGCTTTGTGGTGCAAAGCCTGTGTTTTTAAGGAGCCCTGGCTGGGAGATGCAGTGGAGTTAGCAGATGCCTTTGCCAGGCTATTTCGCACAAATCTGGCATTTGCTGCACCCACTGCCCTGCTCAGCTTAAAAAACATACCTTGGGTTTGTTTTTAACCATTACTTTGGTACCTGTTTCTCTCCAGCTCTGCTCTGACCTCCAGATTTATATGTGAAAATGTCCCCCACGTCCCTCCCAGTCTGACAAACCTTTTACACCATGTTTTTCAAACGCTGAAAAACTTGCAGAGCCCTTCCCCTGCTTTTGCGTTTGCCCCATAAACCCCATGAGATGAGCAAAGCAGGGCTGGGGTGCAATGGGGTCTGCAGGGGAACTGGGACGCCCTTTGGCAGGGGGGGATCCCTCCTCGTGTCACTGACCTGGCCCTCGGTGGCCGCTGCCGGGCCGGACTGTCCTGTGCGGGGTCTGGTGGCTCCTCGGCATCACCACGGGAGCTGCTGCAGCCTTTTCCCTCGGCTCTTGCTGCCTGTCTGAGGCCTCTGTGCCTGCGTCACCTAAAAGTTCGAAAACTTCAGTGGGTGCCACAAGACAGAGAAGGGGAGGGATTTTTCTAATAAACCACCAGCTGATTAAAACCAGGGAGGGAAGCCTTTGAGACAGGAGACAGGCCAGTCTGGAGGTCACAGCTGCCTCAGTGACTGCTGCAGCAAAAGCATCAGCGGCTGCAGAAATCGTGTCGGTACCAGCAGTGACCCTGAAGCGCGAGCTGAGCTCAGGAGCAAGTCGTGCCTAATAGTGGGATTTTTCCAAAGTAGCTGATGCATGGGGAAAAATGTAATTCCTCAACCAAGAGAGCAAATGCAGTGACCCTCCTGAGCGCACCCAACACTCCCGCACCAGGAGCGGGGGGGACCGCGTGGGTACGGGGCTGCTCCACACATCCCCAGGCGTTTTGATGAATAAGGTAGGTGGAGAAGTCTGATTTCAAGGTGACACAGGAAGATCACAAACCTTTTTGTTTGTTTTTTTTTATTCTAAGCTTCTGGTCAAGATGGGTAAATGCATATGAAGGTATGGGATCTTTGTTAGGTGCTTTAACTGCTTCTCACTAGAAAATGGGATTTCTGCTGCACCTAAAAGCCCAGGATTCTGAAACTTTTAAGATCATGAAACACAATAGAAATCAAAATTTTGGTTTTTATTTCCCTACCAATGTACAGATTTTTAATTCAGTCACCAATGATTCTGAATCATGTTTTTGTTATGTTTCAACATTGTAAAAATAATCTTAATATTTTACATGACAGAACACACAAGAGGAAACAAAGCAGGCAGACAAATTGTTTTGACACTTCTTCCTCTAAAATTCTCCCTAAAGATGACACCTTCTGTGAAAACACTTTGATTTTGGCAAAACTGCCTTTGCTGCTGGGAAGATTGCACTTTTTGACCAGGTCTAATTAGCGGTGTAGGTAGTTGGGCTACAAAGCTCTTTGGCAGAATCACTGCGGCAGCGATTTGACAAGACCTATTTTTTCCACAGGGGAGGCTCTCTGGGGGATAACTCCTCTCTTCAGTGACTAATTACCTGTTTGAACAAGGAAAGCCCCATGGGTGAGGTGCTGGAGGTGTAGTAAGCTGTATTCCTTTGGCCATTAGTGATCTGCAAAGGGAGAAACTTTAAGAGGTAAAAAAAGCAAGGAAAAGTTTCACCTGGAAAAATCATCTGCTTTTTTTTTTTTCCCCTTCCTTACCACAGAAGAACAACTGTCCAAAGCTGTTTCTCTCCGCTCCCCTATCCCTGGTCCTCTCTTTTCAAAATGCAAACGTGTCTCCTCACTCCCCGGGGTGCTTCTGGCCCCCCTCACCCAGGAGCACCCGGTTTGGGGGGAGCCCTCCGTCCCCTCCAGCCCTGCTGTGTCTCATCCGCAGGTAGAACCAGCTCCCGCTCTGCTGATCATGGTCAACAAGACCTTAAATTACTGGGGTCCCAGTTTTGAGGAGGACGTTATCAACATCAACGTGGGGGGACTGAGAAGGCGGCTCAGCTCCAGCGCCCTCTCCAAATTCCCCGACACCCGCCTGGGACGCCTGCTCTCCTGTGACTCGGAGGAGTCCATCCTGCAGCTCTGCGATGACTACGATGTAAGTGCCAGGGAGTTCTACTTTGACCGAAACCCTGGCTTCTTCCTCTACGTGCTCCACTTCTACCAGACGGGGAAGCTGCACGTCATGGAGGAGCTGTGTGTCTTCTCCTTCTGCCAGGAGATCGAGTACTGGGGAATCAACGAGTTCTTCCTGGACTCCTGCTGCAGCTACCGCTACCACGAGCGCAAGCTGGAGAGCCGGCACCACAACTGGGACGAGGAGAGCGAGGTCAGCAGCGTGGACACGTCCCCCGATGAGATCTCCGACATCAACCACGACCTGCTGCGCTACAGCACGCTGCGCTGCGGCAGCATGCGCAAACGCCTCTGGCTCACCATGGAGAACCCCGGCTACTCCATCCCCAGCAAACTCTTCAGCTTCGTGTCCATCAGCGTGGTGCTGGTTTCCATAGCCACCATGTGCATCCACAGCATGCCCGAGTACCAGGAGGTGGATGAGAATGGCAACGTGCTTGATGAACCCGTCCTGCACAAGCTGGAGTATTTCTGCATCTCCTGGTTCACCTTCGAAGTCTCTTCCCGCCTCCTGCTCTCCCCCAACCCCAGGAAGTTCTTCAAGCACCCGCTGAACCTGATTGACATTGTCTCGGTGTTGCCTTTCTACTTCACCCTCTTGGTGGACGTGACCATGGGCAGTGACTCGGAGCTGGGCAACCTGGGCAAGGTCGTGCAGGTGTTTCGGCTCATGAGGATATTCCGGGTGCTGAAGCTGGCTCGGCACTCCACCGGACTGAGGTCGCTGGGGGCCACCTTGAAGGTAAACTGGCTATCTATCTCCTTGTCTACTTTGAGTTGCTGGGGAAGAAGGAGACCTCTGGTACAGCTGGGGAGTGGGGCCATTCCCATTCCCAGTGAGCTACCAGCTCTGGGTGCTGCCTGGCAAGCTTGCTTAGGGTGGTGGGCTGGGTTGTTGGCTTGTGTGTCTGCTAAAGCAACCGAGAGTGAGGAACACTGCATGAGTCCTCTTTGTACACACATACAGAGCAAACAGCAATTCACCCCATTGCCTGCAGACCTTGCTTCATGCAGAACTGGTGCTCCCAGGGACTCAGCCATCCCTTCACCACCGTGGCGTGCAAGCCCCGTTGCATGGTGTTGGAACGGATTCAGCCATGTGTGTGTGGATGGTGATGTCCCACCAGAAGTGGGTCAGTGGCTAGCTGGGCTGCAGGCACCCTGCTGAGCAGGGACTGGGCCAGCCAGCAGCTGCTGGGTATGCCAGCACCAGTGCATGTGGCTCAGAGCCATTCCTGTTCCCAGTCTGGGAGAAGGGGAAGCCTCCTAAGGGCATGCTGACAGCTGGGCAGAGGCCAGCATCCAACCCTTGGTGTCTGCCCATGTAGGGAGCTGTAGAGATCCTGGTCCAGCTGAGTTGGATGTCCCAAGGATATGATGAAGTTGGGATTGGTACATGGTTAGCCATGGGTGGCACAGAGCAGCAACAGAAAAGCAAAGGGTTAAGCTGCAGGGCCTGGGAAAACCAGCCCAAGGCAGGGTGTGTGCCCCCCAGCAGAGCCTGGGCTGCCAGCAGCTGCCCCTCAGCGTGCTGGAAAAGCTCAGGGAAAGCACGGCGTGCAGGGAGGAAGAGCTGGATGGGGAGATGCTGAGACAGTAAAGGACCAGGGTCCAGGCGTGAGGCGAGGTGTTACCCCTGCAGGTCTGGTGAGAGGAGGTCCTCATCCCCCATGACGTGCCCCAAGGCTGTGTTTCTCCAGATCCCCCCCCCACAGCACCCCCAGCCTCCTTAAACAGACCAAGAGCAGCTGTGGAAAGAGTCCAAGCATGAAGCTGTCGTGAAAACTCTTACCAGCCTGGTGCTGCAGCCCAGACCTCCCTCGCTGCAGCTCAGCTGCGCAGCACAGACCAGCCGCCGTGCCCTGTGCTGCTCTCTGCTCTCCCCCACCGTCCCTCCCTCCTCTGTCCCCCTCAGGCCAAGGGCCATGTGCCTGAATCTGGGGAGGGTGAAACTGTCCCCTCACCTCCTGCACTTACACAGAAAACCCAGCTTGCTGCAGAGGCCAACTAAGCTCAGCTTTTAATCGTCTCTGATTCTTGGCGATCCCAGCAAAAGAAATCCTAGAGCAGATCCTCAAGCCTGCCAAGACGCAGAGCAGCACACGCTCTCGATGCCCCACCACATGAAGGGCTTGTGCTGGGCACGGGGGGAGGCTGCCAGGGCAAATATCTCCTCTCCTGGTGGGACTGCTTCAGGTCCCCATGGTCAAACCAGAAGACTGTTCTTTCAAGCACTGCTTATGCAAATGTGCCTGTGCTTTTTCCCCCTTCAAACGGAGGGTGTGCCAAACAAATGGCCAAGGGAAGCAATCGTCATCACAAAGCTTGAAATTCACCCAAAGGGACGCTTTCCTCCTCTTCTTGCACTCAGCATTTGGGGGGGCCAGAGCAGCAAGTCCTGGTGCTGTTGCCCCTGAAGGGCTGTCGCAGGGATGGGGTGGGCACAGCTGCTGCTGGGGACACCCCGTTTCACGCTGCTGCAGCCGTGGCAGGTCTGGCAGGGGGTGTCCCAGCATCGGCAGGACTTGACTGCCAGGGTTGGACCCATTCCCGCGGGTGAGCCATGGAGAAAAGCAACCCACGAGTGTGGCTGGGGATGAGGATGGGCAGCAGGAAAGGTCTTCTGCCAACGTCTGCTGTGAGTCAGGAGCACCCCAGCCCAACACTAATCCTGCAAAGCCCACAGAGCATCAGACTAAGCGGGGGGGAAAAAATTCCTGTCATCCTCAAAGCCTGCTGAGAACAGGGTCTAGGAAGAATGAAATTTGAAATGAAGATGCCTGAAGTCCTACCTGCATCATACATACTTCTGAACACTCACCTTGAAAGAGCAATTAGCAAGTGTCAGACCCATGTAACACTGCTTGCAAAATTTAAATAAAATTGTACACGTGGGAAGGGCTCCCTGAACCCTTTCCGTGCTCCACTTAAGCATGAACAACACGTTGCAGCAGAGCAGGGACTGATGGGCTCATCTGCATGTTGTTAAACAGCAGACGAGATCTGGGGAGCCGTCAGCATCCCGGCTCTGGCCTCTGCTGAGCCGCTGATTCACCGAGTGACGTGCTGGAAAATGCCGCTTCCCGGGGACTCCGGAGCCAGCTGTAAATGGGGATGAGCGAAGACACGAATCTGACGCAGCAGCTTGGCACTGTGATTTACTGGGAACATAAATTACAACGTCTTGTTAATCATAATTCACTTCCTATTGCAAGAGCATAAAGCAGCAGCAGAGGAGTAAAGGCTGTTAACAGCCAGGAAGCGGGAGCGATGGCTCTGGCAAGCCAAGTAATTGTTCCCCTGCCACGAAAGTGCTAGCAGAGGGATTTCTGCCATTTGCGCATCATAAACTCTGAACGGTCTTCACATTGCTTGGGGCCTGATCCAGGGTCTATTTAATTTGAGGAGAGACTTCCCACACGCCTCTGCTGTTCCTCCCTGCCGTGCACGATATCCATTACCATTATTGCAGCTTCCCGGGTGCAGGTTTGGTGCCTGTCTCCGGCTGGCAGTCAATAGGTGTTAGGGACTGAGTAATTTAGGCATCTGCAGGGATCTACAGGAGTTGCTGTCTGTCCCCTTAGGGGCCTAAATACACAAATAGGTTGGAAGAGCTGGAGCTGCACGTCCCCAGACAGCAGATGCATCACCCTGCTGTTGCTACCGTGGGCCATCTCTGTGCTCGGTCCTCACGCTGGTATCTCTGGCCAGGCTCAAACCCAGCTCTTCCATTTCATTTGTCTACGGCTGTACTGGAGGAAAGATGTACATCTGGTTGGGGAAGGAGCCCATGCACGGGTGACCAGGCCAGGAGTCCAGAGAAACTGCTGTTGGGGTGGCTGTTGTGCTAGAGCCTTTTATCACCCAGTGTTGCCTCCCCTGAGGCTGGCTGCTTGCTAAACCTGCATCCCACCTGAATCCTGGCTAAGCCTCTGCATCCCACCCAAACCCCAGCTGTGGCTGCTTACCCCTGGGTCAATGAGCAATCCACATGTTTTGAGGATAAATGACTACAAATAGGTAGAAGCCTGTGCCTGAGGATCAGCTGGGAGATTCTGTGCCACAAGCCCTGACCCTGCTTGTAAATTAAAGCAGTAGGAGCTATTGAGCTGCCTGACTTCCCCCTCGCCTTCACCCTCCAACACATCCCAGGGCCATAACTGATACTCTTTAAAAATGTATAAAGTTATTCGGCTCTGCTGCTCCCCAGCTGGGATGTACAGACGTGCTGTTAAGCTCCAGCCAGGAGCAAGTCTTTCATGGCCCTCCTTGAAACTCGGTGGCTCTGAGCTGTTTGTCCTTCTCAAGGTGCTCCCTCGGAGCTGCTGTAGGGCATTTGCAACCACAGGCAGTAGCGGAGGAGGAGGAGGAGATTATTTCCCCTCAGTATTACTGGCATGAGCTGAACACCTTTTGCCAGCAGTCGAAGCAAAGTCTTTTCGCTCCCTGCCATGAATCCACCTCCTTTATGTCTCGTCTTAACCGTGGAAGCTCTTTTCCCACGTCTTCTGCTGTTTGCTTTGCTCAAGTGTTTCGTTTAGTCATTATGTGGTCTCAAATAAAGTATTCTCTGCCTGTTAGGAGACTGGGAAAAAACCTCCCACAATCAGAGCTCTGCTTTCCTTTCTCCAAAAGATGAAGAGCAAGCTGGCAGATCAGTGGGCAGAAACATCCAAGAAATTCTCTTGTGACAATCAAAACATGAGTGAACTAGCCATGCTATGAGGATGGCAGTGGCTTGGGCACTGGTGGATGGTTAGTGTGACCCTGCCAGAAAATGGGGGCTCTGCGGTCCCCTCCCAGTCTGCGTGGCTTTACGAGCAGGCTGTGCCGGGGGTCCCTGTCCCCGCTGTGTGCGGGGCTCTTGGCTCTCACCCCTCCAGCCCAGGGGCAGGGGTAGGAGCTGGGTGCTGGGTTGGGCCCAGTGTTGGCCCCTAGCAGTTTGCCTGGTCCCAGCTTGTCCTCCAGCATCTCCTTTCCGGCATCACTTACTGCCTTGTCCCCCAGCTGCCCACTGCCTTTTTCCCCCTGGGCTTTTGGCACAGGTTTATACTTTGCTCAAAAATTAATATCCAGAGAAAGATTGCAACACAAATGTTTTAGTTTGAAATCAGAGAAACAATGGCTTCTTTAAGGACTGTTGCACACCTCTGCCATCAGTCTGTCCCCCCAGGCCCGCACACCTGCCTGGGAGGTTGGGTGTCCCGTGGCCCCATTCCCACCAGGGCTCCCAAACCCCTCAGTGTGGGGCTTGTCAAGCTGGGGGTGCAGCATCCTGTGGGGATGGGTGCTGAGACCAGCCCATGCTGACACTGGATGGATCCCTGGACTGACCTGATGACCAGGGCTGCTTGGATTCAGGTCAGCTCTGAGGTTCATTTCGAGACTCTCATGGAGCAGCAGCAAAACCTGAAGAGAAATATAATTGTCACAGAAACAGTAGTTTCTGCAAGAAAACTGCCCCCCCCCCCCCCCCCCCCCCCCCCCCCCCCCCCCCCCATCTGTGTAACAAAGGGTTAAATGGAAGCTGAGAGGTAGGTGGTGTTGGGGTATAGGAGAGCTCGGGTCCCTGGGGCTCTGGTTGTGGGGTCCGCAGCAGCCGCGGAGCCCGGGGCTGAGACCCGGGTAAGAGGTAGAGCTGAGCCTGCAGCAGCGGCACGCAGCCTCCCTGCGAGCGCATCGCCAGCATCAAGGGAGGATACAAATCGCTTCCCTTAGGGGCTGACTATTAGGTGGTTTCTGGGGACCTGCCAAGATAAAAGGAAAATGTGTCTAAATATTGTTTGCTGCGCTTGGGACGGAGTGAGTAGCCTCTGCCTGGGAAGCCTGGCTGGGAAGCACGGGTCCCCTCTCCCCCCCGGCGCTGCCTGCTCCTCGCAGGCTGGCAGCGGGGCGGCTGTGGGTGCCAGGGCTGATTTCCCTGCTGCCCCACTCACTCCAGGTGTGGGTCACCCACGCACCCCCGGGCCCATCTCAGGCCGGCCCTGCAGCGGGACATCCCACGGCAGCGATGGACAGAGGCACCGAGATCCCCACCGGAGGCGTGCAGGGAGTCTGTGCAGGGCTGAATTTACACTATGGGATCCCAGTGCCCTGGCACCCACTGACCATCGTTCTGCTTTGCCTTCCAGCACAGCTACCGGGAGGTGGGGATCCTGCTGCTCTACCTGGCCGTGGGGGTCTCCGTCTTCTCTGGTGTGGCCTACACTGCCGAGAAGGAGGAAGATGTTGGCTTTGACACCATCCCGGCATGCTGGTGGTGGGGCACGGTCAGCATGACCACCGTGGGCTACGGTGACGTGGTGCCCGTCACTGTGGCGGGCAAGCTGGCCGCCTCGGGCTGCATCCTGGGGGGCATCCTGGTTGTGGCACTGCCCATCACCATCATCTTCAACAAGTTCTCTCACTTCTATCGCAAGCAGAAGGCACTGGAGGCGGCCGTGAGGAACAGCGGGAAGAAAGACCCCGAGGATGTGGAGAGCACCTCCAGCCACGACGGAGACTCGGAGGCTCTGAGCGAGACCTCCCTGGACAGGGGCAGCCCCGACCGCCGTGGTCTGACCCCCGGTGCCCGCCCCACACCCTGACCCCTCCGTGCCGCGGCACCGGGGTGCGCACGGGACCCGCTTGCTCACAGCGAGCACGGCACGGCTGTGGCACCGGGACACGGCGGAGGAGCCAGGCTCTCCCCATCTCGCATCGCGCCTGGCATCGCCCCTGCCCTGCAGAGGACAGGAGGGGTCGGAGGAGATGCCCAAGCGGGTGCCGGCTGCTTCCAGCCCCCCAGTCTGCCTGGACGTGTCTCAACCTTCACCCAGCGACAGCCCTGCTCTCCCACGGCTGTGGCGCTGGATGTAACCCTGCCAGAAAGGGAGTGAGAAAAAAAGAAATACAGGTGACCCCTGATCAGGCACTTCTCTGGCTGAGTGAAGGGGCATTTCCTTCAGCCCTGAGGTTTTGTGTTGTCCAGGGTGAGGTTAAATAGCTCGAGGGTGAAGCAGCCCTGGACCAGGCTGGCTGCCCTTGCAGGTCCTGTGCCAGGTCAGCATCAACTCCAGTCCCAACCTCATCCTACCCCCAGATGGAAACAGCCTCAAAAGGCTCAGCTGCCCCAATGGCCATGGGGGAAAGGGGGTTGGAAATTAGTCTGTATGGGAGGAGTGGTGGTGTCCAGCTCGGGGCGAGCCCCACTGTCCCCAGTCCCTGCAGTGGGATCGACTGGACCTCACCTTCCTTCCATTGCAATTGGGGTTTAACTGCTCTCCTGTGCTGCCACCGCTGGGACCTCCCAGGGAACTGGGTCTGGGGCTGTGCCGGGAGCGTGACACAGCTAGGAGCACTGTCCATGATGGGGGGACACCAGCCAGGGATGATCAGGCAAAAGGGACACTGTCCTCTGAGGCAGGAGCAGCCAGAGGGGATCAAGCTGGGGGGAACAGAGGGGCCACCCCCAGTGGGTCTCTCCCCCCCAAGCCCTTCACTCCACGGGGCTCCCATGCTGCAGGACATTTGTTTCAGAGGAGCGGCTGCTCTCTGCGGCTGCTGGCACCCAGCCCCTGAGGCAGAGAGGAGGCAGAGTCCCTGCAAAGGGCTGTCAGGGAGCAGATGTGGGAGGATGCTCCTGGGCACAGAGAAGCTGCCTCTGCCGTTGCCGTATGCTTGTGATCTCCACTGCAGGAAGAGCTGCCAGGGAGCCCGGGGGCTGTGGGAGATGATGGGGTTGGGACACGACCAAAGCCAGCTGAGTTCAGCATGTGCTCTGGTCCCCCTCACCACAACCCCCAGCCTGGCTTCCTTCTGCTGCCTCGTCCCTCCCTGCCTTGGGGCTGGGCAGGGGCAGGAGCGCAGTAAGGAGGGGGGTCACACTGCCCCGGGCATCCCCTCTGTCCCGACAGGAGCACCCCGAGTGCCAAGGCACTCACCTTCCCTCTGCAGGGAGGGAGCACCCCCATGTCCGTGGGGTAGCTGGGGCGGGGGGGGGGACCTTGCACTGTCCCTTGTCACCACCACCTCTGAGCACCTAGCAGCTGGGCAGCCCGGACTGCCAGGTCCCCTTCCCGCCCGGACCCCCACCCGGCTGAGCAGGTTCAGGGCTGCTCCCAGCGCAGCATTCATTCCCTACGGAGTTTTTCCTTGATCCCCAGTTCTCTGTTTGGAAGTCATACAGCTCCTTTGTGGACAGAGGAATACACCCAGCAGTGCCTGTTCCGAGCAGGAGAAATGTGCAGCCTGCAATCACCTAATCAGCCCCAAAATATGTTGATGGCTGCAGGATGGCCCCAGGCACCTGGATCGTGGTGTTTTGCCACTGGCTGTCCAGTTGCCAGGGCTGGCTCTGCCTGTAGCGATCTGCTGGCCATGGGGAAGAAAAGACAAACCTTCAGCCTCCCTGAACCCCACTGGGACCCGGGGGGATCCCCAGGGAGCAGTGGTGTGGGATGGGAGGGTGCTCATGCTCCTGGCATCATCGAGTCTTCCAGTACTGATGGTTTGTGGTCCACTCTGCTCTCATTCTTACTGCGAGCAGGGACTGGTGAGCTCCATCGTCTGCTCCGACCAGCTCCACTGCACTTTTACTTGAATAAAGGAAGGAGTTTCCCCTTCTGTCCATAAATATTCCAGTAGCAAAATGTATTAAAATGTGAAGACTAAATTACATGTATTAATTAAAAAGCATTATGCAAATAATTAAAAGAGCATGTAAATTAATTTTCTATCTATGCATGGGATGCATACTGTATATTTTATTAAAGACCTAAGTGACCCGCTTTGGAGGCTGCTGGTTTTGTTTCGCAGCAGCTCGGTGCGCCTGTGCTCGTGCCTGGGCTGCGCTGGGGCCGGGTCCGTGGGTCGGTGCGAGCAGCCCCCGGGGAGCGGGAGCAGCCAGGCTGCTCCCGAGTGACTGCAGGTCCCCGTGAGCCGGCGCCTGCACCCCCTCGGCGCGCAGCGGGGCTCCCGCCCGCACAGCCCCCGCCGCAGCCCTGCCCCGGGTGCTGGGCAGCAGGTAATCCTCGTGCCTGGACCACTGGTGTCATCCGAGCTGGAGCCTTTTGGATGATCCATGTCCCTGGAGGCCCAAAGAACGGGGCGTCCCCGGGGTGCGATGGAATGGGTAGGAGCCAGCGGGCTCCGGGAAGAGCCACGCGGGGAGCCAGGCGCGGCGGCTGGGAGGGAAGGAAGCACAGAGCACGGATCTAACATGAGAGGATCACAATTAACAATAAAAATGCAGGATGCTTCCCAAAGCAAAGAGCTTGCCTGATCCAAGCATAGTTTGTTCCTCCATCCCATTCATTATACGCCCATGAAAGCTGAGAAGCAGGCGAGGAGGAGCAGAAATTTGCAGAAACGCACACACTGTGATCAGAAACACCAAGGGACATGAGAGCTGAGCAGCTGGCGTGAGCAAACCCAGTGCTGGGAGCTGAGGAGCAGCGGCGGCTGTTACTCCTCCAAATAGCCACTCTTGTTTTAAGAAACTAATTTTAACCCCAGGCTTGTGGGTCACATTTTGGACTAAAAATAGAAAAGGCTCCATTCTAAAAGAAAATCTAGTTCAAGTAGCAAGCGTTCATTGCTTCACTTGGTTAAACAATGTTTTAGGTGCACCTCTGCCAGCAGAAGGCTGGAGGATGTGTGTGCACATTCCCTGCTGGCTTGCCAGTCGTTTCACCGTGGCTGGGGCTGTTAGCAACTGCCTGGGATGAGGAGAGGATACAGCCCACCGCAGCTCTGGAGACCCGAGGGGAGCTGGTCCATCTCACTGACAGCTGCCTTCATTCCCTTTTCATCCCTGATGTTTTCATTAGCTCCAAGTACCAAAGCCAGTGGGGATGAAGCCCACCCAGACAAACTCAGGCTAGCTTGTGCAGGCCAACAGCTGCCTGAGTACCTCAGCTCTGTTGAAATCCCATCTCCTGGCACAGAGAACGTCCTCTCGGCTTTAGTGGCCCTAATCACATCCAGTCTCTGCTGCTCTCCTTGCTGCAAAGGCAAAACTCAGATCAGCTTCCAGCATCCAGCCAGCAAACTGCCCATGACAGGGACTGCGGTCATCAGCAGATGACAGCTATCACTAATTAAGCTACGTTATCACCACAGGCTGCCTCTGGCCAACACTGCTTAAAGACCTCAAGAAGTTCAGTAGCCCCTTGGGAGGTTTAGAAGAGCCCCAGGGGTAGCCCCACACAGCACCAGGCTGCCTAAGGAAATACCTTTGCACCTGCAGAGGGTTTTAAGCCCCCAAGCAGAGGCTGAGCACCCGGGCAAGCTGAGCAAGCCCATCACCAATTTTCTTGAGAGAAGAGAAATCCCACCAGTGTGTCGATTACTTCAAAGGGGTGGCTGCTCTTTGGGAGCTGGCTCTCCTGTGTTTTGGGGCTCTAGTTTGTGCTCTGATGCTGCTTGGGCTCTATCTGCCTTTCTCCCGAAGGCAGCATAAAAGACTGAGCTAGCTCCTGATGCTCTAAGTGGTCTCTCTGATGCTCTGAAATGAGGGGAGTGTCTCTGGGCTGTTTGTTTGCAGGGGGCTGGCTGGGGAGGGGAAGACTTACAGATGCTCTCCCTGAGTCAAGTGCATTCTTCTGCTAGATGTGATAGGAGGGGAGGGTTAAAAATAGAGTTTAATCTTTATTCCTTCGAGAGTTTTCCATTAAAAAAAAAAAAAAATCTTCACGCTGCTAATCTTTCCAAGGCAAAAGCTGCCCTGACTTGGGGGTTAAAAGCAAGGCAGGACCTCCCCCGTGGTCCTCGCCTGCTGCAAACGGCAGCTGCCCTCGGAGGCGGCTGGTGTGTGAGAGTTCCAGGCTCGGGTTTGGGAAAGCCACAAAAGATGTTTTCTTTTTTTAGCCTTCTGCTCTCTGTGAAGACATTAGGATTTGTATGGCTATGAGTAACTGCACTGGGAAAATCCTCCCACTGCTGTGCAGGCAGATCTAGCAGAGCTCGAGCATGCAGAGCAGGGAAGAACCGGGTGCAGGAAGGTACCCAGCTCCCGAGGAGTGGGTGATCACAGCCCACGTTCGTGTTAGGAAGGAACTTCTGTGCAGCGATGGGTTGCCAGGACTGGTCTGACTTACTATTTCTAAGGCAAGTAGGGAATGCATGTTCTTTTGCTAATCCTGAATCAGTTTTCCTGAGAGTGCTGCATTTTCATATGGTACAGTGGGTAAATCAATTAAACACTTTATCAGGTTATTTCTACAAAAGCTGCTCTCCACACTCAGAAAATGACTGATGAAAGAGTGACTCTCTTGCCTCCAGGGAATGGTGATTAAGGAGTGACCTTATTAAGCTATTTCATGCAGCTGAGAATTAGATAACTCTGCTTAAAGAGACAAAGTAAACTTCATTACTTTTGTTTAGAACTTCTTTTCCTTTGCCAATTTTCAGATCCATGTCTACCCTAAGCATGGTCTCTGCACTCACCTGGTTATTGGAAAAAACTGAGCTTGATGGCCTTTTCCAGATGGAAGAGGGCTTGATCTGTAAGAAGGAAAGACTCCTCGCCAGCAGCATTTCTGGGATCTCTCCCACTCGTAGGCTCCTACAGCCCTGCTGATCTCAGCGGAGTTCAGGGAGTCAAAAATCAGAGCTGACTGCTGGAGTACGTATGTGTTAAATCAGCGTTCCTCACAATTCCTTTATTTGCTGAACTACGTATGGAAACCAGCGAAGACAAACAGTGCTGCAATTCAATTTTTTTTTTAACAAAATTATGCTAAAATGCTTTCTCCTGGTAGTGAGAGAGCCCCAGGGTCTGCAGGTTCACTTTAGCCTTTACAGGGGCCATAGCTAATAACTTAGTTGTAGGAAACACATAATGAAGGCTTTCATTCTAACTGTTGGAGTTAGCTAAATGAATAGCCTTGAAGGTGTGGAATTAAGTTAACTAAACACGCCTAGACAGGTCACAGAATTTCAGGAAACAAAATCCAGAGGTCAGGCGTGCAGGGAAGCACAGCACCAGTGACGCATGTTCACAGCCAGCCACTGAGCCTGGAGAGAGCAGCAGGGGGGAAACCTGCCCTGCGCCTCTGCTTCCAGATCATCCCCTCCGCGGTCAACAAGTGATGGTCCAGAGCTCTCGAGCCTCTCGGGGCTGAGGAGAGGCTGCCCTGCAGCTCAGCCACACGCAAATTGTGCAGAGGCAGGTCTGCAAGAGGCTGTAAGCACTCTGGATGGGATTCAGGGACTCTGGGCTTCCTCCGCTTCCAGCGCTGTATTGATTTTAATAGTGACGATCCAGAGGGAAGCAGAACAGACTGTGCTTCGTAGATGGAATTGAATTGTTTTAAAGTTTTTAAACAAGTTGGCTGTCTTCCTGAACTCTTAAATTAAAGGGCAATTAAGTCACTTTCAGTCTGGAAAGAGCTGATGGGTGTTTCCTGGTTTGACTCTCTCTAATTTTGCCAGAGTGATTAATGCAATGAAAAATTGTCAACTCTCAAGTCAGGGCTGTCAGCCAACACTCAAAGCATTTATCTAAAGCACATGCTCAGACCCTTTTGGCCTGTGCACAGGAGGAAATGGGACAAAATGAGGGTGTAGGGAAGAGTAGCTGGGCATAAAGGACACTGGCACAGCAGTACCTGTACCTCAGTACTGATGATTATTGTGGGAGGAGGAGAAAAATTGCTGGTGCTACAGACTTCATGGAAGGTTGACTTCTCCCGCAAGGGGGAGAAAAACCTGGCTGAACAGCAGCTCCAGCTTGGGGATACTTGTCAATGTTGGTTTTGTTAGTTATATGCAATTAATATTGAAGGAAGCACAGGGGAACCCTCCCCTGGCACGGCTGCAGTGCTGGGAGTGCGACCCTCCCTTCGTGCTGGGGCTCCACGATATCCTGGAATGTTGCTGAGAAATGCAGGAGCTCCAGGCTTTCCTAGTTACTAGAAATGCCCAGTCTCCCTCCCTTTGATATCCACACTCCTTCCTAACACTGAAAAGCTCAGATCTATTTTGTTTCTTCCGGGATTGCTAACCAAAGCTGACTCCTGAATGAATTCTGTCTCTGCTTCGGTTAGTCATCCCTTCAGGACAGATTTAGTAACTGCTCAGGGAAACCACATAGAAGCCAACAGTTCACTGTTGGAAGGCAGCACCCACTCACTGTCAACTTCATCTTTCTCCGAGCTAGAAAGCTGAAAGTGCAGCAAGTCAGTCAGAATTAGGCGAGCGAGCCTCCAGCTTCACCTGCTGTGTAGGAAGGTGGATACATTGACACATACCTAGTCCCAAACCTGACTGCAGGCTCTGCGAAGTTGCTGCAGTGTGAAATAACACGGCAGAGATAAGGAGGATCTAGGGCAGAGCGCAGCCTCCCCGGCCGCGGGAGCACTGCCGGGGCCAAGGGCAGCTCCTGCGGCTGCAGCCCCAGGCTGGCGGCGCCCCCCGCGCCGGGGGCCTGCCCAACCGCCGGCCGTCCAAACGGGCACCCAGCGGCCCTGGGACCGCCGCAGATCTCTCCCCGAGGTGCAGAATTAGTAACGTTTTAAGGCTAAAGAACTGTCTGTTCAAAAAGGTCTGTTGGACATATTTACTGCTTGTGTTTATTAAAGCTTGTATGACCCACCAGAATTTTGCGTAACATTAGTTTACCAGATGCATGTCATGTTAAAACTTGTTAACACGTTAATCCTGATAAGCAACAATATGCCAGAGTATTTTAATGCATAAATATGAGTCATGACACATGTTTTCAGGTAAGGACAGTTTATTTGCCCCCTTGAACAAATAAGGCAAGGTATCTGAGAAAGAGCAAACAAAATCTCCCGTATCAAACTCAGAGGAATGCAATAAAAGTTACCATTTCATACATATACAAACTAATGACCCAACACTATTATATACAAACAGCCAGATCTTAGAAAATAGCATTTCAAGTCAGCACTTTATGCCAGTGTTGCTAATTTCTTTGTTACAAAAAAGTTAAAGCTACAAACTTCACATTTTTAAGTCTCACATGACTGACATCATCAGTATCTCTGGGTTTTAGAAGCAAAGATAATGGTTTGTCCAGAACACTTTCAGCAATGCAGATAGACCCAAGGAGCACACAAATGCAGCTTCACAATGAAGCTAGCTTTTTGCTTAAAAACTTTGTCAGAACAGCTTTCCCTTATGGTACGAGCCTTGGTCTTAGCCTGGAGGACTCTGAGAAGTGAGGCAGTACTATGCTCCCAGACACTCTACAAAAGGACCAAAAAGGGAATTATTTTCTCTAACAGATTGAAAATCAGTGAAGAAGAAAATAATTCCTCTGCATTAGAGCTCCAAGTGCAAAAAAAAAATCATCAAGTCTCAGCCACTGCAAGCATTTAAGAAAGGTTCAAAGACAGTTAAGCCATTGGACCAGTTTTACGTATTTTGGTTCATTTGCTGTATTTTAAGACAATCACATCAGCAAAGCAGAGTATTTCAAGAGTGCTTACATTCAGTTACAGCAGTCACAGGTTGCATATTCTGTAAATAGACACCATCCTGTGGTGTTTCACCTAAAACTTGGGTTTTCTAATGCCCACTGATCACTAGAAAGTTACCTACACAGTGCAGAGGTAAAACTATTCCCAGTAGAATCTGCTTGATCCACGCCACATGCAAGCAGCGCACAATTTACCATGTCACATATCCATATGTCTACCCCACCAGAGGTTTTGGACCAGGTCAGGTTCACTCAAGTGACCAATACAAGATTCAACACTTGACCAGATGCAAAGGACGTTTGTGAATATTGCTCATAATAAACATGTTTAGTGCAAAACGTATTGCACAGATTTTAGATGAGGACTCTATGAGCCCTGATGTTCATACAGCACTGCACTAGATCTCCTTAGGGAGTCCAGACTAAGGTATTTTAGTCTGTTAACAACAACGAAGCTTTTAATTACCTGGCGTTCCCAATTCAAAACTTTCCCAATACTTGAGGCAATCAAATAGCTGGTTATCCCAGGATGTACGCTTCAGTACCCTAGACACTGCCTACTGCCTTCTCCCTTGGGGACAGCCCCTTTGCCGATCTCCAGCAGCTGTGTTCACACTGTGTATCAAACCGAGACAAGCCAATGCAACCAGATCTGCAGAGGGGGTAAAAATGGCTTGGTTCCTTTCACAGCAGTGGAGTATACCTGTTATCAGCAGCCAAGAGTCTGCTCCAAGGAGAAAAACAGAGCCTACGGAGGCGTGAAATGAACACTTCACCTCTCTAACAGCATTTGATTCAGGACAGGCTGCCATTTAGTTTAATTATCTAGGTGATGTACCAAGGCCTATTTCAGAAGAATGACATGGAAACTGTTCCCTCTATCAGAGCAAAATAAAAATAAATCTGTAGAAACATTGTTCTGTCCAAATATTTCATCGTATGCTAGATACATCTAAAACTTCGTAACTCTGCTGTTACAGCCCATGGAGCAGAGGCACCACTTGGTCTCTGCCTTGCAACCAGACTCGTTGCTTCTGCTTTATTCTCCACCCTACTGGTGTGAGCTAATTGCACCATTCTCACAGCGATTGTACACGCTGGGGCATTTTCATTGATTAAGCTATACTGGGCAGGAATGGCAGGGAAATTTAAAGGAAGAACACAAGAGCATTCAGAGGAACTGGAAGAGAAGAGACTGAATCTCTTCCAGTAGGACATCAGTAATTGTCTTCTCATCCCGATCTACTCCACCTTTGCTCCACCACCATAAATGCGCTTCTTTGTTAATTCAGCAAAGTCTTTACCTTCATTTCAATTCTTCTGATGTGCTAAACCTTGCAGAAATGTGAAGGACTGTGAAGCATCGAAAGATGTAAATCTGAAATGAAACCTATAAAATATTTCAAAAACCATGGAGATTTTTAACTCCTCTCAGACACAACAGAAGTACCTAATTCCTGAGAGAGGTTCACACAACTTTCACCCATTCAAATACTGTTTCCTTTTCCCAGCACTCCACCATCAGCAGGATCTCCCTGAAGGACATTTCCAAACAGACAAAGGGGAATCAGATCACCGACTGGCTTTTGGTTTTAAGTTGGTGTGGATTTTAAATTACAGAATGTAATTTCTGATGGAGGCACAACATGCTTTATCTACTCGTATTAATTCATAAAGTACACGAAAAGAGGACAAAACTGAGGTCTTGAAGAAACCACACTTGCTTAAAGCACACAGTGTAAGGCATGGGGCTTATTACAGGCTTTTTAAAAAATGAGATTTAAGTTTCTTTCAAAAGGCTAGAACAGTTGCACATGTTCTCACCTGCTCTCTTCAGTGGCCTAAAACTTACCAGTACCTTAACAGTAGAAAGATACAGTTAACAGCTTGGAATTGAGTCTGTGCATTCACAAACAAACAAAAACAAAAAAAAACAACACAAAAGATGCAGCCTTTAAATACCACAATCCATATTAACTTAAAATAAAATGGACTACTGAAAGTTTGGTTGAAAAGAGAGTGAGCCAACTTTCATTACCCTATTCCTATCTGTTCCTCTGATTTAAAAACAATCCCCCTAAAAACAGTAACAAAACTTCTTCGGAATAATGTTTTAAATACGTGTCTAACATTAAAACATACCATCAGGATCTTCCACTTAATGGCATTCCTGAGTTCACAAAGGTGCTATGGAAAAATAAGTGAGCAGAAGTATTGCCCTCTATTTTGCTAGCATATTTCAATAGAAATCAATCTGTTTAGTAGTCATAAAAGCAAGGAGCTGATTGTTTGAGGATGGAAGAATATTCTACCAGTGGCTCAGAAGTTCTGCTGCCGTCGCTTCTTGGCTTCAATGGCATCAAGGATCGGCTGCCGCTTTGACTGGTACTTCTGGCGGATTTCTTCAATCTCCTGCTCCATCATGGGGTCCAGGGCTGAGAGCCTCCTCTGAAGTTCATCAACACTCCAAGTCTTTAGCTAGCAGGGAGACAAAAGAAGAACAGACACTGGCACCAGTACCGTCACCATCCCCACACTTAGAAGGATTTTGCTGCCCATCTGATGGTCACGATGCGTCTTCCAGTAGGAGCAGGTAGAAGAGAGACTTCTGCTCCAGACTGCTGCCCTCAACGAGGCTGGCACGAGCCTCGGGATACTGGGCTGCTTTTGCTCATTTTACAGATACATTACATGGTCTGTTTAGTGACAACATGAGTGTATAAAACAACCAGTGAAATGTTTCCCCACTGAGCTGTTTTTTTAATGATTTGTTTTGCAGGCTTAGAACAGAAATACTGTACTGAGATGGAAGAGAAGCGAAGCTCTCTCCCCCTCTTCTTTCCTTGCAACTAAACTTCCTTCTGCTAAGTGACAAAAGGAGACAGAAAGGAACAGGAAGAAAAAAAAAATCATTGACAAAAGTTGCATTTGAAAGTAAAAAGCATTTATGTACAATCGGGCTCAACCTCAGTCATGGTGAGGGATTCAGACAAGAAATCCCAGAACACACGCAAAAGGTCACTCTGGGTCAGCCTCATACTGATATAATATGCAAGTACAATTTGTATTTTACTGTACACGTGAATATGTCAGACTAGTCTGGACAAGCTCCCTTTCACTGAATTCCCTATCTGCCTGCCCTTTGTTTAATTGGCTCTCTTGTGCGTGCCCATTTGCTGAGAACTGGCACAGAAAAGTTTTATCCTCTGATTAGAGATGCCAAGTGTGGCCTGGGACAGCCTAGATTGTCCATAGCTACACCCTTTACATAATATTATAATACTATAACCTGTGGAACAGACAGGATTTTAGGATAATGCTAAAAAATATGGACACTGGAAATGCTTCAAATGTTCACCTAAGCACCAGCCCTGTTCTCATCCAAGACTGAGTGACCCCCAGAAACACATGGGAGACACTGTTTTACAGCCACCACAGCCGAATGGGAATGACTATTTGCACCACCTGCTTTCAGTGACCATCTGCTATGGATACTGAGAACATGTGCAATAATTTGTTTTGGGCTTTTTTGTGAACAAAGTGTCAGTTTTTAGACTTTCCACAAATGTCATAACTGAGTGACTTATCTTCAGTTAAATGCAAGTGATGCTGCTGTCCTGGTTTAGCTGTTGATTAGTAAGCTATCATGGTTATTCTTCAAGCCATTTCTGAACCAAAACACACAGTGAAACGCTTGCTGACTCTTATAAGGCAATATTATATATTAATAGCAGTTTGCATCAGTCCTTAAAATGTATGTAAATACTAAACTACAGGAATCTTGATCCTTTTTCCTGAGGTGGATGAGATATCAGTCCCCAAACCACAAAGTCATCTACTAGCTGATTTGTCATGAGGTCTTTTGAAATTCTTTAGCATATTCTGCTAAATAAGATATTTCCTAGTGGCAGTTATGGGATCACAAATCCACTTTAATAATCTAGGCACATGTGAAACAAAACCTTCCTCGCAAGGGTATACAGTCTTTTGGTCTCTCCAATCAGGCAACTGTTCATTAGAAAGACAAAGCACTTCCTCTGCAAAGATATACATTATTTATACACATTAATGCAACTTTACCAGACGGCAGTTTAAGTTGATGCATGGCACCAGTTGCCTTTTCACACTAATTTATTATGGAGCAGGTAATTAGTCAACATTCCCCTTCCTTGCAGTGCAGGGAACTGAACAGTCAAAAATGCAAACAAGAAGAAAACATTAATTCAAGTACTGAACACATATACTAAGCAGCTATATCAAGAGAAAATGGCTGTCAGCTCTCCCAGAGTACCGAGTGCTAGAATACTAAAAGAGAGTTTTGTAACAGATCTAAAATACTTTGCTCACAGCTTAAGCCAACTATTAGATGTCAGAAATTGTCCAAGGGCTGCAATCTTCCGTGGATGCCCTTTGAGCCTTCTCCACCATCCTCCCAAAGTGCTGGGTGCTGCTTACAGCCCAAAACAAATTGCCAGAGTAGGCAGCCCGGAGGACAGAGCAGATTTACAATGATGGTCTCTCCAGGCCCCGAGAACGTGGCAGTAAGAAGAAAAAAACCTGCCTTATTAATTTTCTTGAACATGATCTAGCATCACAGGACATCCCCCCTGGATACCGACACACAAAGTCTTTCTGCTAACTGTAAGCAACTGCTTGCCAAGGGACGCAATGGCTGCGCGTTTGTCAGGACAGATGGTGAAGATGCTCAGCGTACAGCTAAGTCTGCAGCAGGCAAAAGCCTACGGATATATATTAATATGAACAAATTGGTTACCTGTGCAGACGTGTGATGCAGAACAAAGTAGCTACTTACAGAGACTGATCATGGGTTAAACAGAATGGGGATGGTGGGAGATGGAAGTGAGGCAAGCTGATGCAACACAAAAATCTAAGAGCACAGAAACACGTCCTGAGTGCAATGCCGTGTGTTGATGAGGATGAACTAATTATAGAGATTTCATCTGGAATAACTTCAGCGTGGCTGTGAATGCCCTGCTATTCCTAAAAGAGGCAGAGAAGCCAAAGGACAACTACTAGTAAAAGGTCCAGAACATGACCATTCACCGCAGATGAGCTGGCGAGACTGACACGTGTCCAATTACTTTGAGAGCCAAGAGCCCACGCAGACGCAGAGGACGTCTAGCCGCCTGCTCCCACTCTGCTTCAGGCCCGTGACAACACGAGCCCTGGGACCTGCGCTGGGCTATCACTCAGCTTGTCCTTCCACTTGCACACGCATCTTTAAAAGACAAAAAAAAAGAGAACTGCCTAAAACGTGATGGTCTCCACTTCATTTTGCTGTGTGGCATTTCACTGTAAGCCAATGCCACAGACAGGACTTTCTCCCAGGAATGAAGTTTTTAAACTCCAGCATATCTGTCTCTGCAGTGGTAGACTCCTGGGATACTGACATTATTCTCTTAGAGAAATGCCAGAAGCAAAATAAGAAAAGAAGGACAAGGACAGAGCATCTCATGACAGATGGTTACTCAGGGTAAAGTCTCAGTGCTGAACAGCTGCAATTAGAGCTGGTTTTAGCCACAGGCTCAGTCCCATTCCTCTCCTCACTTCTCCTCAGCAATTCTGCTGTTGTAAGAAGTCTAAGTGTCTTTGTAAAAGCTATCTATTTTTGTCTACACTGATCAAATAGCTAAAACAAACTTTTAAAGGAAGGCATCTCATTTCAAATCTGAAGACTGACGTAAAATACTTGTTCTAAGGTTGGTCCAACATATCTGTCAACAGGGAGAGGCAGCAGTACAGCAAAATTGTTCAAAGTGGTATGTGCAGAAAGCTAATTTTTAACCATTTGATTAACAGCTGTATTTTTATTCAAGGTTTTGAGAATGATCTTAACTGTAAAAATGCCCAACTGAAGACAAATGTCAGAGGTGCACATGTTCACCTGAGAGCCTCTCGCCCGCGGCCATGCATGCTGTTCGCTGTTCTTCAGGCTGCAGAAACCACTGACAGCAACATCTTGTTTTAATATGCTGATGATTCCTACTATATAATTCAGATGGACATACAGCCTTTCTGTGCATACACAGTAATGATGGACAAATCAGGAACAGATCATTTGATATACAATTTCTTCCTCAAGGAGAAGATTTGTAAGCTATTCATGACATCCCTTCACCAGCATTTCAGACAGACTTGCAGATAACTACTCACTGAACAGTGTTCACCTCAGCAAACTGCTTCTAAGCTGCTGTCCTTTCAAATCAGCATTTTAAAAATAGGGCAAAAAAAAATACCGCTTGCATTTGTTACAGTCAGGTAAAGTGTCACTGCAACACGATATTCTACTGAATGTAAATGAATCTAATCGGCAAAAGGAGAATAAATAAAAGCTTTCTGTAGACATGTTAGACACAGCCACAGGTTCAACATTGAAGGGCACCATGGTCTGAAATTTATACCTATGCAATTCTGTCCTGAGCAAGAGGCAGTCTAAAAACCTGCCATAGTATTTTAAACTGATCATTCCAGATTTATGTTTCACACAAGATCCACTGTAAAACACAAAGCCTCGAGAATTAGCCCAGGCCCTTCGCCATCCCCAAGAAAACCAAACAAAAAACCCAAACAGTAAAAACTTTTTAAAATTAGAAGCCAACGCAAATGATTTACTCACGGTTCTCTTGGTATCCATAGTCCTTACACTGAAGAGCACCCGTGCCTGCTTTTCCTACAGTGGGGTCTGTAGCTTGACCAGTTTGGGACTAGCATACTCCCCTGGTCCCTCAGCAGCCCTTCACCAGCACAAGGTCAGCACTGACTCAGATCGAGTCTGCACTACTGACATAAATATGATGTCGTCCAGTAATCCTCAACTCACTTCAGCTATTCTTATTTGTTCCTCTACCTGAAACCACTGCCAGCAAAATCCTCTTGCTGCATGAATTATAAGCATCAAATAGAAACAAGCTGTTTCCCAGCAGCTTTCACACATTTCTCCCCCAACAAAGACTTTTGGCAGAGCACTAACTCACCGGCTGCACAGGAATCAAAAAATACTATCTTGGAGCAAGTGAAAAACACGTTCCTCTTGCCACTTTCTTTTTACTTGCTGACACTGAATGTGATCCCTAGATTTAGCACAAAGCCTTTTCTTTGCATCTTTGCAATGTTTCATGCTATCTGGGCTTTGTTTTTTCAAATACTGCCTAAGAAGTCCTGAAGCTTGTGCCAAACATGTACTCTCCATCACCAGGAAGGGGATGCAGTTCTTCTACCATCATCTTTAAACACATGGATGGACCCTGACTTCTGGAACAAAATAGGAATACATATGACATTGCTGAGATTGGGGTTATTTTCCTCATGGTGAAAATACTTGAATAGTTTTGCAGAAGGAGGATATTTTCAAGTCTTGATACTACAGCAAAATCCTATTTCCTTAGCCTTCTCGTCATACCCCTCTACCATAATTTTTGCCAGTCTGAACACTTGCCTTCCACATACTCACATAAAGT